GGGGGGGGGGGGGGGGTGCTTTATGGGTTTGGGGCTCTCTGAGGGTCCAGCAGGGGTTTGGAGCCTGCATGTCTGGGCTCAGGCCTCATGTGGGGCTTTGGTAAGACTTGGTACCTAAGATCTGGATCCACTGAGGACTTCCCTGCCCCACAATAGGCAATGCCTTCCTCCTGCCTGCAAGTGTTTGCTGGGCCCCACCCCCTCCTGCTTACACCTCCCCCTCCAGGCAGCAGGTCTAATGTGCATCACCCGTGGAGTGGAGCCTCCTGGCTGTGCCGGGTGCAGGGAGCAGAGCATTCTCAAGGATACCCAGCCTGGGACAGACATTGGACTGGGCCCTGCCTTAATACAAAGATTTGCCCTTAGGGATGCCTCCTTCCTTGAGGAACAGGGATGAGGAGATGGGAATTACCCCCAGGCAGGAATTTGCTTGGGTAGCTAGCTCAGTGCTAGCTCTGAGCCATGAGGGGCCCAGAGCAACATAGGTGTTCTTCTGTGGGGCAGCTCTTGGCTCAGGCAGGGCCTTGGGGTCACTGCGCCCTTGGCTAGTGCATGTGGTGTAAGACACTGGCAGGTGCAGGTCCAGGAGCATTTGAGCTGCCACAGCGTAGGGAGGCATGAAGAGGCTGGGACCAGCTGGCTAATCTCAAGCTTTTTCTCCCCCACAAAATCTCCCAGGTCTCATGCCCTATAACTTCATCTGTGTGCAGACTGGCTCCATCCTCTCCCAGGTCACCTCCCTGGATGCCATCTTCTCGTGGGACACACTGCTGAAGCTGCTGGCTACTGCCATGGTGGCGCTGATCCCTGGTACCCTCATTAAGAAGTACAGCCAGGGACACCTCATGTTGGACAGCAAGGGACAGAGCATCCACCTGCTTAATGGCAGAAAGAGCATGTGATGGGCTGCAGCTGGCAGCTCTGGGAGCATCTCATAGCATATCTGTGGGGCAGATGCAATCCTCGGCCCCAGCTGTGGGCATTTTAACCTGCTGTTGGCACAACCTCTCCAGCTGGCAGCACAGGTGGAGGACAATCAGCAGCTTTTAAAGATCTCCTTTTAAATCTCCAAAGGAGACAAAATGGTCTTGTTTTTAAATGGTGCTTGTATGTAGGTGAATGTACAGGGAGTGGGGAGCTGCCATGGGGGTTGAGAAAGCTGTGCTCTGCTGCTGAGTGCTGCACTGGCCCCCAAAAGGCTAACTAGCATGCCTGATTCGAGTGCTAGTGGTCACTGCTGGCTGCCTGGCATTCATGCGCAGGTACCTTTCTGTTGCTAGTGGCTCTGCTGTGCTGGCCGGGGAGCTCAGCATGTGCAGGGCACAGTGGCAGGCACCCTAGTCAGCTCTCCCACTATGGCTCTTCACAAAGCTGCCTGGTGTTGTGCCCTTTCCTTGGTCTCTTTCCAGCACTGAGCTGATGCTATTGGTTTAAGTGCTGAAGGGGCAGTAGCTCTGCTGGTATAATTGCCCCAGGCAGAGGTGAGGCTGGTAAGAAGGGGTTTGCTTTCCCTTGCAAGATGTATGCAGTTAGTCAGGGTCTTGGCTTCTGCAGCACTGACCTCAGGAGGGGAACAGTGCCCTCCACAGCTTGCCCAGCCATGTTTCTTCTCTGATTCATGCTGCCCCTGGCCCTACCTCAGCCAGGCACTCTCAAGATTCCTAAGGCCCATGTGGCTCTGCAGCTCTCTGTTGGCTGCATTTCCCACCTCAGAGTGGTGCAGGCAGTTTCAGCACCTGTTTCAGCACTTCCAAACCAATGGGGACATTGCCCACTCTGGGGTGGTTTCTGGTCCCATCATCACTTAGGAGCTGCCTCTAGTGATGGCCAACAACTGGTGCCTCCACGCAAGGTGAAGATGCTGTGTTATCCCAGGATGATACCGCCTGCATTAGAGAGAAGACATGGCGTTCTGTGTCCTGTTGCCAGGTTGCCTGGCTCGCCTCAGTTATAATTCCTGAGAAGAGGCAGGCCCTGGCCACATCACAGCCACAGGTAGTGTGTGTTGTGCCTGCTTGTTTGTAAACCCCCTTGCATGCAGCAGGAGCAGCGTCTCCAGGGCAGTGGTGTCAGCCTTGTTTGTGCTAAGTCATGTCGCTGTGGAAATGGTAACTCTGTGGCCACGTTGCATTGTGCCAGGGCAAGGTGTCCACTTCCTTGCCTCCTTGTCAGTGTCCTGGGCCTTGAGCTTGCACGAAATCTGGAGAGAGGAGCTTTCTGAAACGGCTGCTACCCCCAAGAGATGAGGCTCAAGGGAATGCAGTGCAAGCCTGACTCAACCCAGCAGGGATTGCCTGTCCTCAATGGTCTTGAACTAAGTGCCTTGCTAACCAGTCCTGTGTGTTTACATGGTAGTGGATGGTTTTCCTAATAAATGGTTGTGAAATTTTCTCTAAGTGAACGTGGTGCTTGTGCAACTGGCCTTAAGGCAGATCACCTTGCCCCACAACAGGCCTCAGCCACACAGGCCTTATCCACCCCTCTGCCTCATGAAGGCATGTGTGCTTTGAGAGAGGCCAGGAGCCAGGGTGGTAGGGGTTAGCCTGACTGTAAAGCCCTGGCCTGAAACCAAAGACATGCTGTTTGTTGAATGAGGAAGCAGCTGCCAGCTATGTAAGTTCGGTGCCTGTGGGGCAGAGTGCAGAGGTGAGGCATCCAGTGCCCTAAAATGCCTAGTGTCCTTGGGGGAGAAACAATCAGCACAGAGGGAGTGAGCCAGAGCAGGAAGTACAGGTGATCATGGATGTGCCTGGTATCCCTGGCACACTTCAGCCTACCCTGCAAAGACAGCACAGAGGTGCAGTTTGCCTGTGAGGGGCAGTCTCAGACTGGATTGCAGGCTCCTTCTCCCCAGGCGCTGCTGACCTGCCCAACAAACTGGTGCAAAAGGGGTGCTTGCTTAAGTAGCAACAGGATTTGCATCTGAGCACAGCACCCCTGCTACACTGAGGAGCCAAGACTTTGTACCCACCAAGCTATGCTGTGCTGGGCTGTCTGCTCTATGGCAGCCCCCTGGCCCATGCCACAGAAATGGATCAAGCCAGCCTTGCCCTGTCTGCCACATCCTGGCTGTATCCTCCAGTGAGAGGCTGGAGTCTCCTGTCTTTGCCAGCACTCACGTCCCACGCCTCTGGCTGTTCTGTAACCGGTTTCTGGGGTTCGGAGGCACCTGCAGACTACTAAGGACTAAGGGGGGGAAGGGAAAGAGTTTTGAAGGACAAAAGAAGATAGTTGGTGGGGGGAGAGAGGGCAGAAAAGAACTTGAGAGGGAAGGGATGCAGCAAAGTGCATGTGTACCCAGTGACCACTGCTTAGCTGCCCTGCTGCTTTGAAGACTCAGCCCAAGCCCAACACTCAGGGCCTGCATCGATACCAGAAAAATGCCGGTGCAGCCAAGCCACTCTCTATTTTCATCCTGGAGGCTCCAGGGAGTAAATGGGCAGCTGGAAGCAGACAGGTAATGTAAAATAGGGTTCAGCATTAGCTGTTTGCTACTCTTTAAAAAGTGATTTCCAGCGTGAACCATCCTAGCCCAACACCCTCAGCACCCAGATGACAAGCCAAGGCTGGGACAGTGGAAGTACACTGGCTTTTTATTCCATGCATTGTTTGCTTTGATAGTCATTCTTGTTCCCATCACTGTACACGGTTCAATACAAAAAAATCAAGTTTGTTTCAGGAAGCCACAGAGCAGGGAGGAGAGAGAGAGAGAAATGAGAGCTACTGAGATGAAATGGTCACTTTTAACACTGACGGTGAGGAGAACAACATTCATCCTCTGAGAGTGAAGCCAGGCTGGTGTTGAGGAGCTGTCAGCAGCCATGCGAGTCAGGTCAGATCAGGGCAGCTTGGGACGCAGGCAGGGATTTCTGCCACTTGCCTTTTCCCCAGGGAATGAGGTTTTATGTAGTAGGAAGAGAAAAAATAAATCGTGTGTGGGACAGTGACCAGCCTGCTGCTGCCTTCCTGAATGCTCTTCAGGGGCCTGTGCCTACCAGATCAGCCCCATTCAGCTCAGAGACTGCCAGGTTTTGGCAGTGCCCTCACCCAAACACTGCTCTTGTGACAGGCCATGCTGATATCAGCTTTCAGACACCCCTGCATACCTCAGTTTGAAGCCCATGAGTTTGCAAACACTTCCCTGGCCCTGGCAGCAGAACTCAGCCCCTATTTGTCATCTATGAAATGGCAAGGATTTCCTCTGGGAGGGCTGTAGCCTCTCAGTTAAGTCTGCTCTTTGCAAGAGGACACTCTTCCCTTGCACTCTGCATACACCTATTGCCATGAGGTCAACACAGACAAGAGCTTGGTCTGTCCCTCCCTAGCATGGCTTCTGCACCACTACAGGCGCTGGATTCATTTTGCTTCTGAGGCCAGAGTGCCCAACTGCAGGATCTGGCTTTCCCAAGCAGCAGGAATGGCTGCAGCACTATGACTTGTACCATACAGCTGCATGCCCTTGTGCCGCTCACCAGGAAAGAATCCCAACAGCATGGAAGCAGCACCATGACGCCGGACACCAACAGAGGCACCATGCAATCAACAGTGACGAGGGAATATGATCTGTCATGCCAGCACTGCTACGCCTGCATGGCACAGCTGAAGGCAGCCTGGCTCTGCTAGTGAGCACACCTCGCCTGCTGCACCCAACCAGCTGTTTCTCAGTCTTCTCTTCCTCTAATGGGCAGGGGCTGTTGTTCAGGCTGATTTAGCTACTAGTAAGTCCAAGTGCATAGGGCCTGGAGCAAGAGAAAGCTATCAATCATGCAGGATGTAAATCTTTAAAACTAGCTAACAGCTTGCTTGTGCTCACCCGATGTGCTGGGGTACAAGCAAGCACTGTTGGAGAGCCAAGGCAATCCCCACTGCAAGAGGATGTAGCTCCTGAAATCCACCCAATAATATCATGAATCTCAGGCCCCTGCTACATGTTACACATTACACAATTAACTAGTGAATCACACAATAAATTTAGACCATCCACATATGCCAAGTCATTATCATACCTTAAAAATGGCTGTCCAGCTACAAAGTTAGTACCTGAAAACACATAACAACTCTATAGCTGGTTTCTATCTAGCTTGAATTTGAATGTGTGGCAGGGCCCTTAAACTCATTCCCATCCACAACTGCTCATGGCTTGGCATAAGCCCAGGTGAGAGGAAGACCATTTCTTGGGCTGGGTTTCTGGAGCAGCCTGGAATGTTTGGAAGAGCCCCTGCCAAAAGAAACGGCACGTGGGATGGGGCCAGGGACTTCAGTGCAGTGAAGCCTGCCTCTTGTAGCTCATCATGTGCAGAGGATACTAGATTAGCCTGGCTGGGAGAAAGTGCATGTGCCACAGGTTGAAGGTCTGGTTCCAGCCCTGCTCACACAGAGCCTGTTAGGATGGTAACAGTCCTAGGTGCACAGCAGGGCTGCCCACATCAGCCCTCACCTCACCTGAGCTGCTGCAGTCCTACACATGCTCCGAGCAGGTTAGAGGAGTTTCCTGGGCTGTCACAAGCAGTGCTCTGTACATCCTGCTCACAGGAGTCCTGAAGGGATACTAGGCAGGTACCAGGGTAATGCCTCTGGCTATGAAGAGGGAGCAGACTGCTGCAAGGAGGGAGAGGGGAAGACTTGTGAGAATTTGGCTCTGCCTCCAGGCCACTGAAGTGAACCATGGCAGCGGAAGGGAAAGACAAGAAGTCTGGCTTGGTGTCCAGGGGAAAGCAGGGAGGGCTAGCTCAACTCATGTGCTTCTCCGCATATCTTGGTGGGCACTACTGTTGAGTCCAAGAACTCCTATCATGTGCCTTGTCATGGACAAGTGCTCTCTCTCCCTGGCCCACCAGACTCGCTACCTCTCTTCTTGGGGGTGGGGAGAGGTCACTCCAACTTACTGTCTTCAGACTTCAAGGGATGACTTGTGGCTCTTGCTTCTCTTTTCCGTGGCTGCTTGGCCCTGGGGACCTCAACTGCAAAGCCATGCCTGGCTCTGTCTGCTCTTGGCACTGAGTACCCTGCTCGCTCCTGGCCCCTGGGAAGCCACTCCCTTTAGGACTCTGGGCTCCTCTGCCTGTTAACTGGCTTCTTGTTAACTCCCTCCTCCCTGCCCCTTCCACTGGTCACTCATGAGCAAGGAAATTTAGTGTTGACAACAGGAAATGTCTTTTAAGGCCCGTGAAGTTGGGCGCTTCCTGACTGGTGCTCAGCCCCCAGAATGACTGTGCTCTGGGAGCCGCTGTTGGAGGTCACAGCATAAGGTGACTACTGACAGCCCCCAGAACCAGCTCTGCTCTCACTCTTGTGTGGCTCCGTCACACGGAGAGAAAACAGCTGTGCTAGTAGTAAAGCCAATCTTCTGATCTACAGAAACAATAATAAATAACAAAATAAAGTCATAACTTAAGATCTGTGTGTAGTCCAGCTACAAAAATTTAAAAAATACGGGATCATTTTCACGCATAGAATACTGCTCTCTGTCGACAGACAAACGGTGCCTTCATTTTGCCACTAGGCTATAAATTAATCAAAGCAGAGCTCAAATCAACAGCTCAACAGAAAATGTAAACAGCAACAGAAGAACCTGCCTACAGTCAGCTCCGGCTGGTCACCTCAGGCTCGCGCACTGCACAACAGGAAACCGTGGGGGTAGGATGCTGGCTGCTCTCGCCATCCTAGCCTGGAAGGGGAGGTCCCTTGCCGGGGGGTTCTGAAGGTGGAGCGGAGGTCTTCTAGGAGAGATGTTACTAAAGGCGGGGGAAACAGGCCTTGCATCTTTGTTCTGTTGCAACATCGGTTAAAAAGCGGTCTGTTTGCAAAGGGAAGGCACAAGGAGTTCCTTAGGAACATACGGGGTTCTGGTCTGCCAATGCCTCAGTCTTCCAGCCACTATGGGACAGTTCCTCCTCCAGACTGGAAGCTGGACAGGTGATTGAGATGCTTTGCCTGCCCCACCCCATAGCACTCCCTCAAGACCAAGACAAACCCCCCATCCTCTGACAATGAACTGATTCCAGGTCTTGCTTTCTGTTTTACACAGCTCCCTCCCTGGCTCAGCCATGCATACACAGCTCCCTCCCTTGGTGTTGGCTGGGCACATGGTGTTGCAGTCAGTAGGAGGTTGCCTTGGAGGGTTCCCCTGGTTTCCTCCCCGGACTAATGCAGAATGCGCCTTCCTTGGTTTGCAAGTTCTTGTTTTTTTCAACACTGATCTGATGAATTTCTTAAATTGAAAAAAGTGAGCCAGGAAGCCTGGAGGCAAAGAGAAGTAAACTGAAACACGGGCACTCAGGGTCTGAGAGAGCTTTCTCTGCTCCCCTGGAAATCAGTGCTGCCAGAGGAAAGAGGACAACAGGGTTAAGAAGTGCTGTTACACCCAAGTCTCAAGGGAGGCTGAGGTTGGAGTAGGTCTGCAGGATCTCACAACAAAACACTGATTAAAAAACAAACAACAACAAAACCCCCCATAAATTAACCCCCACACTTGCATCCCAGGGGGAATGTACTGACTCAGAAGACCCTGGATGAATATAAGCACCGTGGTACCAAATTTCTCCAGGAACACGTCCACCTTCTGATTAAAAGTGACCCAGCTGGTTATACTGAATGCTGTTTGTTCATAGGTTACCTTGCAGCAAGGTCTCTCTTCGTGTCTCCAGTTGATTAGACTGATTGATTCGTTTCTCTTTATCTATCAAATCTGTAGGGCCCTAAGGCCTGGTCCCGTGAAAGCAGCAATAGAGTTCTATTGTGCCAATGCGTGCTGTCTAGGTAAGACTTCCAAGGAGGTTTCTCTCTGATGTGCTTGCTTTCTGAACTTTTTTTTGCAACAACTGTTCTGTCTTTATATAGATACAGTCCACTCTTTACAGTAAAAAGTGTTAAAATGTCAAAAAAATAAATATCAATGTTACAGTAGCTAGATTATTCAATAAAATACATCCCTGCCATTCTTGATTGAAATGCTTGGTGAGAACTAATTTCATTTGGACATTTTCCAGAGATTCAAGTTATTGCAGATCATTTCTGGGGTGGAAAGGAGAAGCATCTTCTCTTCCTGTAAAGTATGATTAAGGGGGGGATGACGTGAAGTCCTGCCAATACCAGGAGGGGCTGGGGAACAATTCATCATTACCAAGTAGCAGAGCTGCAGGGCTTATTGGTCCTGACAGTTGCATCAGAACACTCCCCATCAGAAGAGTCACAATCCGATTCTCCAAACTGTGCTGGGTTCTGCAAAGGAAAAGGAAAGGGGAAACTCTTTTAGTGATTTCCATGCACTTCAAAGTGGCCACATGGATAAAAGGAGTAGGTAAGAGTGAGAAACAGGGAAATATTAGTGAGCTTATCACGTCTCGTCTTCTGTTCGGTCTGTGGATAGGCAGCAGTGGGTACCACGGGACCTCAGGGAGACCAGTTGTTATGACTGAAGAAAGTAACTAGTGGAAAGACCCTTCTGCCTACACACGCACACGCGCACACATTAAAAAGGAAGACCAGAGAGCTCATGCATCCCACAAAACAGAAGAACCAAAACAAATTCACTTGCTCTTCCAAGCCCCGACAGTCTTCTGCCATACTATTCCCCCTGGCAAGACAGTGACAAAGCTACCAACACCTGGCAGATGTTAGTTGCACTGGTTAAGGCACTAGCGGATGGATGGCTTTCAGCTACTGCAATGGTAACATGGTACCTCAGAATAGATCAGACCTGGGGCTCACTGGTGGCCAGACTAGCTGCTTCATAAAAAAAAGAGCCAGAATCCCTTCCAGTGGCTACTGATACAGTAACTTGTTGCCTGAGGAGGTGTCCCCTCACCCATTTAGAGGTTGCCAGATGACCTTAAGCAGGAGGGTGTACAGCACTTTGATTTCATTCTCTATCTGAACCTTTCTTTTTATCCTGCCTGAAGCAGTTGTGGATGATCTCAAGCAAATGGCTGATGGGGTTTCACGTCTATGGCCTCAACAGTATCTCGTGGCAATGAATTCCTCAGGGCAGCTGTGCCACATGTGGTCATAATCAGTGCCAGATGTCCATCTCTTGGACAGGCACTCAGGATGGTTATGAGGAGGGTGCAGACAAATCCAACCTGCCTTCTCTGTGGGCCCTACCACATGTTCAAATGAAAGCTGGATAGAAACCAGCTACAAAGTCATTAAACGTTCTCAAGCACTAACTTTGTAGCTGGTTCGCTCTTTTTATAGGTGGACGGACATTTTTATGGCATGATAATTACTTTGCATGTGTGGCCGGTCTAAATTTATTGTGCAATGAACCAGTTAATTGCATAATATAATGTAACATGTGGCAGAGACCTGCGTGGTACCTCCATCATGGACCTGTTCAAACTCCCATCTTGTCACTCTCTAGTGCTATGGCTTTCTTTCTTGCCTTCCCAGCATCTTCATCACCCAGTAAAAGAAGGGGGTCACTGAAAGTACCACATACCTCATAGCTGTGTTCCCCTGCACAGAGCTTGCCCAGTGACATCTGTGTCTTCACCCTCCGCACAGCGCATTCCTTGTCTGAGAGCCCATCAGACTGGGTAGAGATGTCAATGGGGATCTCTGGGGTCTGGGATAACATATCCTCCAGCTTCTCAGCTAGCTGATCCTCCAGCCTGGTGGCCAGCTCATCTGGGCTGTTCGAGTGGTCGCTTGTGTTTCCCTCCTCTCCATCAGACACAGAGAAGTTCTCAGAGCTGAAGGTGGAGTAGGACTGGCAGCTACTAATGCAGCGGTGAGGCCTGCAACCCCAGGAGAGCAGGTTAGCTTTGTTCTTCTCAGTCTCTACCCTGCACATTTCATTGTTATACTTGCCTCACTCCATACCATCAGTGGGGAAACTCAATTTCATACTCACAGGAGGCTGACCCCAATACAGCCAACCCCTACAGTCCGTTGAATACTCTCAGTGAACCCATGTTAAAAAAGTCTCTGACTGCCCCTCAAAGTTTCTAAATTTTCAGAGTAGCTGTACCCCCTTCTACCACCATAATACACAAGTGGTAAGTTGCTGGCCTGAAGCATCACCAGCACAGAGGACACTGGTAAGCATGCAGGTACGCAGCTATGGTTTGAACACAGCTACTTGCCATGCATGTTGCAGTGTTAAAAGGCCTCACAACATACGGAATGTAATGAATAGTTCTTTGGCCAGTCTCCCAGTTTCCCCCCTTCAGCTGTATACCACTTACAAATGTACCCTGGTTTTATCATTTTTGCCACCTACATGCCTGTTCTAACAAGCCCATAAACATATCCCCGTCCTGCTTTCCATGATATGGATTTCATTGTGTAATATAATCAGTCACTAGGCAATACCTCTTTGCAAGTCCCCTCTTAACATTCCCAAAGGGCTAAAGGCACAAGACCTGTAAGACCTTTAACAAAAGGAAATGTGGCTAGAACATTTTGGAGAAGCATTCAGCCTTGATGATGTAAACAGTCAGATGTAGCCAACTGCTAACACATTTCACTCCATCTCCTCTCCCAGGTCCTGGGGTCCTCTTGAAGATCCCACGCCCAACTCTAAGGCAGGATCATGATTCCTGCATCCCAGAGGAAGATGTGTCCCTGCCTCATAACACCAGGCCTTGGAAGAAGTGATGTGCCAGACCCTGTCGAGTTCAATGCTGGTGCCACAGACACACTGGAAATAACAGGGTGAAGGGCATTACCTCATTGTGAAACTCCACTAATGAAGCTTTCCATCCAAATCAAACCACACCAGAGAGGAGGTGGACTGAAGAAGCCATTATTCTGAAAGAGGCTGGGTACAGCGCATCAGCACGAGGCATCCCAGAGCAGTCTAATTTGATTTAGTAGCCTTTTCCTTCCATAGTTTATGGTGCCAATTCATTTCCTAACCAAGTCACTATGAGTCTAGGTAGGGTTACCATATGTCTGGGTTTTCCTGGACAGGTCCTCTTTTTTGGCCCCCTGTCCTCATGTCCAGGCGGGTTTTTAAAATGCAAGCAAATACCCAGGTTTTTGCTCTGCCTTTGCTTTCCCGGATGTGGGCAGCAGGGCTGGGGGGGGCAGGGGGCTGCAGGTTGGGAGTAAGGGGCACTGGCAGGGCTGGGGGCACAGAGGCAGGGCACCGGCATATCACTGCCCCCCGCAACCATATGCCCCTCCCCTCTCTCATCCCCACCCCTCCCCTCCCCCTCAGAGGTGTCCTTTTTTTTTTTTTTT